TTTTTATAATTTTGTTGCAAATGACTGATGGACGGTTGTTGTCTAATAGTATTCAAAATGTCAAAAAAACCAGAACACTTAGAGCTTCTCAAGACAAAGGCAACAAAATGTCAAAAGGACGAAAAGTTAATAATACGAAACTATACAGATAAACTAACCTTAATAACTTTAATATTGGCCAGTAGCATGAATTAAGATAACAGTGAACCTGATGATAGCAAAAAAAAAAAGTCATGCCAACCTACAAAATATAGACAAAATCCTAATTCTCACATCTTTTTCTATCATACGTCAAATATCGGTTTCATACCAATAGCGATTTTACGACAAACGTATACCGAGAAATTTTATTTTGTATAAATTAAATTCTTGTTTAGTTAGGTTTTAGTCGGGGTAGTTAGCTCTACGAAACACAGGTGATCGAACACAATTGTGTCACACGTTTAGAGTACCTGCGTCAAAATGTTCATTAGCGGAAGCCGGTAACCGCGCTACCGTCGAGGGCCGTTTTTCGCGAAATCAATTATAGTAGGGATACCTGTAAAAATCTGGAACGTACAATTCTTGAAAATACAAATCTGTAAAGTATAAACCTTGAAAGAACAAATCTTGAATTCAGGGTTTTATGGTTATCGAAATTTGAATCGTACAAATTTGGAATGTAAGTCTGTAATGTATGAATATTTAAAAACAATTTTTTACTAATCCAGTGTCATTAAATTTGAATAAAAATTATCTGAATTTCTACATACAATTATATATATATCCTAATTATGCAAATTTTGCCTTTGCACTTAATAATCACACCCACATTCCAGACTTTTATATTCCAGGTTTGTACGATACAAATTTCGATAACCATAAAACCCTGGATTCAAAATTTGTACGTTTAAGGTTTATACATTCAAGGTGTCTACATTCCAGATTTTTACGCTCTCCCAATGGTAGTATACAGTTTTTTTTAAAAAATAATAAGAAATCGTAGTCATATCGGTTTGTAATCATGATAGCTGGTCAAAATGTAAAACTACTTTGGGAAAGTAGAAGGGAAAATTGAAAAAACATTTTAGGTGGAACTAGAGATCCAAGGTAGTCGAGTGACCCCTTGCTGCGCTCACTCGGACATTTATAATCGAAAATAACCCTCAATTTGTTTTGCAAAACCACGTCGGGTAGGTAACAAGAAAAAGTGAAGAGCGTTATAGGTGATAGTACTCTTAATTGGTATAACACTATAACTTATTAATTTATATCCGTATTGGAATCAGATACTTATCGGTTATCGCGAAAATACGATTATGGAATAATACGAAATATTAAAATATGGCACTATGATACTTTAGGAGAGATCGGTTGGCAGTAATGAATAAACCGTAAAATTAAAAAAAATTGTGTAGATTGACAACAGAAATATTGTGACTAGCCTGTAGCACAGATATCTGTAGTCTATACATAGAGTAATAAGAGTATCTTACTTGTCATACCATTATCATTGTTATTTTCAAATTAGATAATCTGATTATATGGTAGCGAACTTGAATTATTGTTTTATTTGTTGTCACCGTTCTAACTTGAACAATAATGCTCTATTCACGATTGAAAGCGAAAATGTCGCTACCTCGTGGGATTTATGAGAACTGCTATAACGGGAAGATGTTCCTTCATCAATCAAACATAGTACACATTGTACTACGTTTGATTACATTATATTGAGACATTGAGTACTGATTTCTATATTTCTTTGTAATAATCAGAAATATAGATTTATTTGTTGATATTATGGTTGACCATAATTATTTTGGCTAAATAAATAGTAAAAATGCATACATTAAATACAAACTTGAGTTGAGCTTACATAATACCTATAAAATATACAATAGGTATAGTGTTTAAAATGTACCTACCTACTTCGTGAGTTTTACCGTAAAGGTCACTAGTTTATAAATATAGTCATAAAATCTTAATACAGAAAATAGTGTAGTGATTAATGAACAGCCAGTACATAAAACAGTCAATATCACAAGAGACACACAAGATGTACAACAATCAACCAAAAAATAAAAATAAAACTTCACAGGTTCAACATTCTTTAATTTAATATATAAATAGGCCTTTAACTAATGAAACATATGCAAAAATTATAAACATTTTGATTTAGAAAAAAAATTATTTTTATTCATATAGGTACAAACATGAATTTACCACATTAATATTATTATAAGGTAAATTATTATTATAAATCTTGTATCTTGTTTTTCAAAATAGGAATTAAATACAATAACATATTTCATAATACTGTTATGATTAAATACATGTTGTAATTCCCTAAGATAAATTATTAAAATTAATTATGTATATATATATATATAAGAAAAAAAAAAATTATAATTATGATATGAAAAGAAATGTGTGGAGTGTATAATATGTATGTATAAAAAAATAATTCAGACTTATAATTGAATTTAAAGAGATTTGATTAATTTAGAATATAGATTAAGCTCGTTCACCTCGAATACGTCTTGCCAGTTGAATGTCTTTTGGCATGATAGTAACACGTTTGGCGTGAATGGCGCACAAGTTGGTATCCTCAAACAGTCCAACTAAATATGATTCACTGGCTTCCTGTTAAATATCATAAAATAAAGATAATTAATCAGTTAATGCAAAAATATAGTATTTATGTTCTTAAGATTGAGGGAAAAAAAATATTAAAAACAATTTAATAGTATCAATAAATTAATAAAAGATTCTATAGGGCACACCTATGATTTCTTTCATATTTATTTATGCACCAAAAAAAATTATCAAATAGACATCATAAATTGGTTATGACCCCTTAAACACATACTTCTCAATTAAAACAAAAATTGAATGGAATATAAACCTAATTTTATTTATTTTTTGCTTGACTGAGCCAATACACAATAATGATGAATCAAAATGTATATAAAGAAATTAGGAGGATTGTTCCATGCCAATCCTAAGATTGACTACAGAGAATAATAATGATATGTCCATTAGGTACAGTAATAACAAACACATAAATTAAAATTGTAATGAATTGAAGTACCCATGTAAAGAACAGTAACCTAGGTATAGTATCTGTCAATGTTTTATAATTAAATTACAAACTTGTAAAGCCCCAATAGCTGCACTCTGAAAACGCAAATCAGTTTTGTAATCTTGTGCAATTTCACGGACTAAACGTTGAAATGGCAATTTGCGGATCAGTAGCTCCGTAGATTTCTGATAACGGCGTATTTCACGTAGAGCGACAGTTCCCGGGCGGTAACGATGTGGTTTTTTTACGCCACCAGTGTTCGGCGCGCTTTTCCTAGCAGCTTTGGTCGCCAACTGTTTTCGGGGAGCTTTGCCACCAGTAGATTTGCGAGCGGTCTGTTTAGTACGAGCCATGATTTAACTACTGAAAAAAAAAAAAAAATCACACTTGTACAAAACTACTATAATAAACCACCAGCAAATTGGATGTAAACTTTAATGAAAGCAGGCAAACAATGTTTAAATTGTATTAATAAAGGAGTAACTGCTATCTTATTCGTCTCGGAATTTAGAAATTTACCATGTGCTTTGCAGCCGAAGCCGGCTGTATATTTGGCTTTTAGTAGGTAACCTCGTGATTATATTATACTCTAACCAAGCCTAGTTTCTTTTAAAATGCCTCTAAATCAAAGAATTATTTCATAACATAGTTGTATACTCACTTTGATTGTTATTATGCAAATAACTAATGAACGGCTGTTGGGTAATGTATTAAAACGAGCGAGAACGTTTAGAGCTTCTCAAGACAAAGGCAACAAATGGCGAAAAGTGAATAACCATATTGGACACTGTAATTAAAGGCTGGTAGTGGGGTTAGCTATAGCTATAGACATTTTAATAAAGGTTATGTTTATAACCGTGGTTAGTAGCATTGTTATCGATCTATCTATAACCGTGATTATAGGATCAAAATGTATTTACCATAATCAGAAAAGAGTATTTCACACGAAACGTGCCACTATTTCAAATTACTTTGTAGAATTTTAGCTCTTATATGTATTATATTTTATCACGCTTATCATAAATAAATCCTCAAAAATCGTCTTCAATTAAAATTTTTTTAATAATCTTACGTCAGTTCTATTGAACCTATTTGTGTTTACAAAAGAGATTGACGTATCATTTTGGAAATCAATACTCGATGAAAAGTATTCATTTGTATGAGATTTTGTGTTGAAAATGGTATCTATGTTAGGAACGACTCACATATTCTGTGAATGCACGTTTTCACATATCAAATTAAAAGAAAGAAATCTCCTTAAGATGAAACATTAAATCACCTATTACGTGTGGAAACTTCAGAATTAGAAGTTGATTTTGCCGAATTGTCACCTACAGCTACACATCTCCTAATTGGAAACAAAAGCACTGTGTACTTGCATTACATTTGAATTTTGTTTTTATGAAATTTAATTTCGTGGATGCATAAACATTTTTTAATTTTAAGACAGTAACAATGTAAAAATTTTTTTTATATATTTTAATGGTTGAACTAACTTCCTAAATAAAATATAAATACTCAAGTAAAAACTAGGTAATAAAAGAGTAATAACAGTAATAACAGTAGTAATAACTGTAAAGTAATAACAGAACAGTAAACAGTGAAATAATTACAATTGAATATGTTATCATTTCTTGTCATTATTGTACAATTCATCAATTTTATTTAAATCATAAATAATTGTTTTTATGTTTATCTATTTAATATTATTTTGAAATAAATATTAAGTGATCCAGATTATATTAAATATTTCATACATATATTTGTATTTATATTTATCTGTATTCATACTTTAGATACAATAAATTAACTGAGATCATTAAAAATAGGTACAAGGATGATCTGTGGTATATTTGCTTAACATTGACATTTATGCGATTTGTCTCTCATATTTTTTTTGTACTTATTATTTTTAACTGAGTTAGATTAGTTAAAACTAATTTTTAATTATTCAGGTAAGATAAATATGTTATTTATTTACTGGAAATGTCAACAAAATTCATATTGTCCTACACAAATTTATGCTCAATGTTAATACTCTAGTGTATTATAGTATGTATTTATTAATTATGACTTTTTATAAACAAGTTTATAACAAAATCTTCCAAATTGTTTTTTTTTCTAAACCCAGATGGGCAAAACCCTTCTCATAGCTTTTTCCATGTGGTGGAATGCTTTTTAGGAAATAAAAGTCAAAGTCAACCAATAATTTATATAGTTTTTACTTGGATATTTTTTTGAAGATTAAAGTTTATGAAAATATACTATCATAAATGTGTTTTTAAGAAATTATAGGTATGCATATGGGTGAAATTTTAAATCACATAAATAGTCTATTTTATGAATTGTATAATTGATTTCTTATAACAATTATATTTTACAGTATATATAATTATTTTATTAATTGATAGTAGATTAAATCTAATAAATAATAAATATGAAATTATATATATTTTTTTTTTGTCAGGTAAAGCTTATGACAATGTGGGAGGATTGCAGGCTCAAGCAATTTAATTTATATGGTCCGTAGTTATGCAGCTGGTTTTATCTTTACCACATCTTTACCACTTATGGTTTTAGCTGGAGCTCAAGCAGCTGTTGGTGTACTTGCTTCAGCAGAAGGTAGACTGCTAAGAAAGAAACATCAGGAAAATGATCATATCTTTGGCAAAAATTGTTTGCTGCCAATTTACCAGTTGAGTCTACTCCATCTCATATCATACCTATCAAGGTTAGTAGTAGTATGACTAAATAAGTACTGGTTATTTAATTTAAAATTCTATATTTTATTTTTTTGTTCAGATTGGCAATCCAAATTTATGTTCAAAAATATCTGACTTATTACTTCAAGAAAAAGGTCATTATGTACAAGCTATAAATTATCCTACTGTACCAATTGGTGAAAAAAAATTGAGATTAGCTTCAACACCACACCACACTGCAGAAATGGTTGATATACTTGTTGCAGACATGCTCGATGTGTGGGTAAAAATTGGCATTTTTATCAATTTGGTAATAATAATTTTCTATTAATGTTATAGGTTTAATGCATTGACTGCTATATGATTTCTAGTTTATATTAGTTTTACCAAAATTATTAATCACAATTAACTTGTTGGAGTTAATAAATACATTTGTATGCAGTGTATACACATACCAGTGTTATTATATGTCTGGACACCCATCCCACCATTATATCTTTTTCCATGTACATTTTTAACCAAACATGTTTCATATATGACCATAACCTATGTGTACACATTAATAGGTACATTGATATATACACATTATCGACTTAAATCTGTTTACTTATAAACTATGGTTAATTAATTAATATTATTACTCAGAACAGATTGTTAATAATTATAAAATAAGTTCTTATAATTAGGTTTTTAACTTTGATTAATCTTAAGACATACAACTATTTTTTTTTAGTTACTAGATATTTGGTATTTAAATGTTATATTTATTCAGTGCATTAGTCATAAAAAGTGCATAGGGTTTATATTATAATTAGGTTTAGTATTTTATTATTAAATACTAGCAACATAACAATACAAATGGTGACACATTAACCTGAATTCTTAAGGTATAAATTGTAACAAAATTATCAGATGGCACTTATGGTATAATATAATATCATATACTTCTTAGAACAATAAAACAGCTCCATAATAATCATTTAAAAATAGATCAGTTACATTCTATAATTTAAAAAAATTATTTTTAAATTGAAAATTAATTATAAACTAATTATTTGGAATATTATATAACATCTCTAAATCATGATTTTGTTACTGATTAAAATACTTTACTAATTAACAAACATATAAAATATTTCTAATGTAAGGTGTTGAATAAATTTTAATTTGTTTTATAATAATTATCAATCATTCTATCATAATTTATATCAATATCATTTTTATAAGATATTGTGATAAGTCCTAATCATATATGAGTCATAGTTGATCTAAGATGACTCTTAATTTCAACTTAAAAAAGCTTCTATCAGTTGAAACACTGCCCACTGGTAATGTTAGATATATATAGATATTAGGAAAAATGTAACGAATATGATTCTTGATAAAAGCCTTAAAGATATTAAAAATTTTATTAGTTACATTAATATAGTATATTGAATAGAAATTATTTGAGTACTGACTGAAATATAGTATATAGACTTGCATTATTTTCAACACTTTGTTTTATTAAATTATCATTTTCTTTATAATCTGAATCTGATTCACTATCCATATCTATTTCTTCGTTATTTGGTTTGTGAAGTATGGTTGGCAACTGTTCTGTACTCATAAAGTGTTCAAAACAGTTACTAAATGCCATATATTCTTCTTTTAGTTTCTTTATGTTGTTACAAATAAATGTCCTATGTATATTATTAAATATTTCCAATGCATCTTGTGAGATTTTTGTTAGATCATTTTTGATCCATTCTTTCAAGAAAGATATTTAAATAAACTATTTGTTGAAAATTACTTATACCATCACTAAAAAATTTTCTTTTAATCTCTGATGTAGTGACATCTAATGTATTAAAATAAGTATTGAATTGGAAATGTGTCAAAGGATTTGATAACAGTTCATCTATAGCTTTTTCATTAGGTAGTACATTTTTAATTCTTAATCTTTTTGAGAAAGATCTGTAATATCATAATACTTGGAAATGTATTCAATAAATGAGTTGGCACTAGAGAGAATTTTGGTTAGTGCTGTTTCACATTAAAGTTGATTTAATTCATCATATTTTTGTTTAATTAAATATGATACTGAGAGCAAGCCAGTCTTTTTTCTGTAATAACTGAGATTGGTTCAAGCAAACTGAAAATTTGTTAAAGCACAAAATGTTGTGTATATAAATCTTTTAGATAATAAATACAACAAATATCCACTAGCTTGTGAAGCTGCTTCTTTGTCAGAACTCTCTTCTATTATATATTCAAGGGTTTTTAATATTGCCATACATTTTTATTAAATGACATCTAGTGTAGATTTATGTGACATCCATCTGGTAGATGACATTATTTTGTGTCTAACATACAACATTTTCCAACATACAACTCTTTTTGTTTTTGCTTAAACATAGCACTCTGAAATTTACTGCTAGATATAAAATCATATAACCTCTCAATATTAACAAAGAGATCTATAGCATTCAATGATTCAGAAACAGAATTAACTATTACTAAATTTAAATGGTGACTACAATATCATATAAATGTAGCCTGTGGATTTAATTTTTGAAGGCCATTATACTGGCCCTTCATATTTGATGCACAAACACAGGATTGGCCTATTGAATTTTTTTTCTAGTTTAAATTATTTAAATGATATACTTGTTTAAAAATTTTAAATAAATGATTTCCTGTAGGTTTGGGACTGTCTATTAGTCCTATGATTCATTCTGGAACTGAACATGAATCTTTATCAATGTATTGTATTATAAAGGACACCTGTTCTTTGTGGGATATGTCAAAAGTGGAACCAATTCCTATACTGAAAAACTTGGTTTTATTTTATGCTGTTAGATTTTTAAGATTTTATGAAACATGAAATTGAATTCAATTCAATTAGATAATTTTGGTGATGTCATGAAATAAAAGAATACTGTTGTTTTTTTTTATTATTCATCTCCTTAAGTTGTCCAATGTAATTTGCCATTGCAGGATAATGTTTTGACAGTAATGGACATAAATCTCTGAGATTTCCCTGTAAATCATACTGCCAATTTTCTCTGTGCTCTCTGAATACTAAATTGTTTTGACTTAAATATAATGTTATGTATTAAATTGTTTTACTATTTCTCTATTAGTTAAAACTTGTTCTTTTTTTAAATTGAAAGACTAGGAATTAATGGAAATGAAGGTTGATTAGAAGAATTATTTATTTATAATGAAATTAAACATAATAATTATAATAATATATTAAATATATAAACTGATTTAAAAAAAAAAAATGATATTTACAAATTTTTAATTGATAATGACAAATAATCTACAACCTTTCTATAATTAGTTTAATCTATGTTATTTACTCGTAGTTTATTTATTTGTTTCCTATTATAATTAACTCTATGCAACTGTTCATTATTTTTTTAATATGTATTCTTTTTAAATTTTTTATTTATTCTGTGTGCTTTAATAACCTGATGATGACTAATGGTCAAAACTAGTTGTTATATATAACACTTTAAATACTCTTGGTATTACATTACATTTTGTTTTATTTTTGATTTTAATATATTATTGATTTTTCTATTTGATTAATTAATAGTTATAAGTACCTGTTGATTCATCACTGGAGTCAACACTTGACAACACCATTGCATCTGGTTTGTTTAAACTTGGTTCACAGTAGTTGAAGTTTGATTTTGAACAATCTATAATTTAAATTTGGTGATTAATATGGGCTTATTTGTTTAATACATTTACATTTACATTTATTATTTAATGTATATTAATTTTACTTTCAAGATTATCAAAAGAAATTATTAAACTCCAAATATGCATTAAATACATGATGAATATAAAAATATAATCTAACAAGTAAAAATTTAACTAATATTCTAAATTAAATTAGTTATTTGGAATATGTTTAGGTAGGTAATGAATTATATTTTTATCCTACTCCACATTAATTTTGATTTCATAAAAAAGAGAATTTCATAATAAATATATTAACACCCCTTTCCTATTCATGATTTTATAATTATCTAGTGCTAACGCAAACAGGGTTAATTGAAAAAATTTCAGGTGTTTATCCATTTATTAAATTAGAGATACATCAAATTTGAGAAGAATAGTATTGTAAAATAATCTGATAGACTGCATTAACTGCGGAAGAAAAATAATAATACATTTATTAACAAATATAAATATCTACTGATTCTTTTTCAGAATTAATATTTGGCATCACAATTGTTTCTGGTCTACTTAAATTTGATACACAGGTTTTTGACATAGAATATGATTTATTTATTATATAAATTGTGTGGTTGATGTAAGTATATTAAATTACTAAATTATTTTTTTATTAATATAAATTATTGAAGCTATTTCGTGGACCTCCATTTTTGAAAATTGACGGTATTTATAGATTTAGTAAAAGTTAATTCCATTGATTTTCTGAGATTTTTTTAAGCTTTTTTATTTTTAAATTTTTCCAAGTTTGAAAACCCATATTAAATACCTAAATGATAACTTTTATAAATTCAGGTTTACAATATGCTTATTTTAATATTTTTTATAAAATTTTCCGATAGAACAAGAATTAAAACTTAATATTCCCTAACTTAATAATATATAATTATTTAATAGACAAAACTATACTATCATAACCCTAATTTAAGAAATGTATTACTAAATATGCTCTAAAAAACAAAAACTCTAAAATACTTAAATATATATAAATAAAATATATTTAGATTCTTTACGTGATGAACAATATATTATGATGTTTAGCTCCACTATTTTTTTTATTTTTCTTAAATAATATGTAAATGCTAGAAATCCCTAACCCTAGTTATAAGTTATATTAAGTTTTATTCTGGCCCTCTCATTTTGCATATTATATACCTGGTTTTTTGTATATATATATATATATATATAAGTCCCTAAAATTTTCTTATGTTTAACTAAGTGAATTATTTAATTTAATGTAATTTTTTACTTAACCAAAACCCACTACTCAAATACATTATTTAAAACTTTATTAATCAAAAAAAAAAAGTTATATTTTTAATAAAACCCAAATAATTATTTTAAGCTGATGCATTAATAAACTGGTAACAATTTGGAACCAGACAAGTTGTTTTGTATGGGGTTGTTGGTTCTGATACACTGAGGTTTTCTTTTGCATATAGTATTGGTATAGGATTTTAGGATTTTTGAACAGTATTAAAGATGAATATCCTGAAGTTAGCAATAAAGCTTTTGGTATATTAATACCATTTGCCACATTGTATTTGTGTGAAGCAGGATTTTCAACAGTAGCCGTATTAAAATAAAAATATTGGTCCAGGCTCAACGTGGAAAAATAAATGCATGTTGCAGTAACTACATTAATTCCTAATTTTGAAAAATTAATAAACGAAAAAAAGACATTAATTATTTTTTATAAAATAAAATAATAAGTTTACTGTTAACTAATAAATATTAAATAATTGTTAACCTATTTTATTAAATATTCTTTGTTGGAGGCTTGAACAATTTTTTTTATTATTAGGGAGCCTTGAATGAAAAGAATTTGGAAACTCCTGGTATATATGTTGAATTAGGGCTATGGAATGACACACTTATATTTTGTCTTATTGTATGCTGTATATTAAACACATTTTTTTGCTTTGCATTGTTCTAATACATACACACTTATGTGAGAAACAATAGTCTAGTTTTTATAAAATAGTTAATTTAGTTAATAGTCATTGAGTTTAATCAATAATTCAAATTATTCAACTAAAAACATAAAAGTTTTTACATAAATACTATTAATAATAGAGGAATACAATTTCAATAAAAAAAAAAAACATGTATTAGTCTGTTTGATTTTTTTAAAATAATATTTTTTAGACCTAGAAGTACCTATAACCTTATTCGTAAATATTAAATAATACAATTACAATGTTTTGATTAATATACATGTTTAACAAATCTATTAACAAATATAAAACATTATCTATTGAATATATTTTTTTTACAATTTTCATATTCTAGGGTTAAATTTTAATGTTTTGGAATTTTTAAATAAGCAGAAAAATTGTATTTAAAGTTTTAAAAAAAAAATTGAGATTTATTGAGAAGTTCTTACATTTGTTAAATTAGTCTTGTTACACTCTATAATTTGAAATTGGTGATTATTTTACTTTCATATTTATGGAACCACCAGTTTAAATTATGTATGATTTTACAGGAGTACATAATATATAATAATTAGGTTATCTGGATTTAAATGCAATTTCTATATAATAAAAAAAAAAATTAAAAATGATAAAAAAATATTTAAAAACGAAAATAGTTTAGAGGTTTAGATGTCCTTCTAATTTAAATAATTTGTTTAGTAAATTTTTATTTTAATATAATAATTTTATGAAAACAAATCAACACAAAGATATTTTTACCAATTTTGAGCACTTTTTGTAGATTTAAATTTGGAGCCCTAATAATAATATATAATACATAATGCATAGGCTTAATTGAATTGTATATGCATAAAAATATATTATTTTAATTATTTTAATACATGTATTTATTTTGCACGATTCCATTGGATTATAGTGTCAATTCTGTCTATTTAGCCCATATTTTACTATTTTAAAGGCATATATAGTGGATGTCATTTATAACACTCACAGATCATTTAGGGGGTTGGGGTGCGTGGTGTGCATTTCCACCTACTGTTTTTAAAATAAATTTGGCGTTTTATAATACCATATATTGAGTAAGTGTTTAAGATCACTCTAGAGGTTTAGGAAAATGGTGGGTGACCCCATATAATTGGTAGAGAAGGCAAAAGAAAAGATTACAGAGGGGGTATCCCCACTTAACCTCCCTTCCCAATGAAAAAGGTGATCATAATTGTGGCCTGATAATGATATAAAATAACCAGCAAAAATGTTGACATCTACAATAAAAAATATTGAAATGACACCTCTGTGAACTATTGACATAGAAATAACTGTTTTTAAAATACCCCCCCCCTCAAAAAAAAAAAAATCCTAGTTGCGAAATAAACGACTCGTTTAATCTTAACGTCTTCGTTTATAATTTAACAGGATGATTCTGCTTCACCACAGCTTTTATTGGTTCGTTTAGATTATTTTAATAAGGATGTGCCATCCATTGTAATCGCATGCTTAGTATGTCGAATATACTTGTACTCTGGAATAAGGCATCAGATTATTATAGTATTGTTAATTCCATACCACACTATAATTAGTGAAGTATAGTAAAACATTTTTTTTTTTTGTAAAAGAGTGATTGGTTTAATTATGAGGTAGCTAAGGTTATATAACATAGTTATAATAATATTATTACAAAAGTAATTCAATAAGTTCACTTTTTTAAATTATTTAGTTACACACTAAAACACTAACAAAAAAAAGCCAAATACTATTTATCCGCTCATCGTTATTAAAACACGACATATTATTGAAATGTGGTTATTTAAGAGCACACCGGTGAATGAATTATGCGACAAAACCGTTCAATTCAAAAATTCTAACGAAGAAGTTAGCAATACATTTATCAATACGCCAATACTAATTCAAAAAGCAGTTAAAGTAAAACAATTTTATAACTTGAAGGAACATTTAGAAAGTCTTAAACAAATACAAACAAAAATAGGATTATTACACGAACAAACAAAAAATAAAAACCAAACTCCCACAATTCCGTATGTAAGTTCAAACAACGATAACGAAAAAGATGTATTTGAACGTCTAGAGACATTCAATGAATCGATACAAAAGATTTCAAAAGAAGTAAATTGATACAGTACACCGATATTTTGTGAAAAACATATTGTAATAACTAATTTATTATTTTAATTTTATTGTTTTAGGTATCTCGTCTGTCGTCAATGATCGAAGAACAAAAATGTAATGAAAAAAAGGAAAATGAGCAAATATCTAAAACAAAATCAAACGACCATACAGTAACTTCAGACTGCTTAAAGTTATTAGACAACAATGTAGTACACGAATCGAATTTACCGCCATCACAAAGTACTATTATTAAATCTAATAATGATGAAATAAAAACAGAAGTTCAAAAGATACCAAGTTTCAATCCGAGTAAAAAATCACAGAAAAAAAAAATATCGGGTTCAAAACTTAAAACTGAATCCAATACAAAATTTGAATCTACAAGTGTATCCGAAAATACGAATACACCAAAAATCGATTTGAACTCGGTTAATGNCGACGCAGAAAAACGAGAAATGTGAAATTTTAGATTATTTGTCAAAATTAGAAAAGACATTGAAAACATTAATTTCCAATAAGTCTGTCGAACACGCACAAAACAAATCAAATGTTAAAATTGAAAATAATAAAGAACATGATTTAATTACAGAAAATATTAAATTTCAAAACGAATGTAAGAACAATCTCGTCTGCAGTACACAACCTCAAAAATCAATAAATGAAATTCCGATAGTAGATCCGAGTAATAACAAAAATGTATGCAAAAACACGTGCAATAATTTGAATGGATGTAATTGCAAATTAATAAAGAACGAAGCTACTAACACGGAAATCACAAGACCGTCACAGCACATTGATTACGTTAAAATATCTTTGGGTGAGTTGTTAAGTTTTTTAAAATATAAAGAAGAAGAAGTTAAATCATTAAACGTGTGTCCGATGACAATAGAAAATGTACAGAAAAATAAATTAAACGAAAATAACAATAATAGCGATTGTCCGAAGAAGATAAATTCCTGTTCAAAAAATGGTGACGTCGACAATAACGGCATCGCTGTTAAATCTACAAATACAATGAAATTGAACGTATGCAAGGAAAATGATATTTGCTCGTTTCTTCACTCTCAGCCGATTCCGGAATGGATAACATTATTAAAAAAGGACGTTCAAATCAACGTAAAGAAGGAGCAATGTCAAGAAACATTAAATCAACCGGAAAAAATCAACAATAATTCCCAGCATGGTCAAAATATCGATCAATGTAAGAGAATCATTAATCAAAACAAATCAATGAATATTGATCAGCATCAGAAAATAACTAATAAATATCCATTACAAAAATCTTTTAAAGTCCAGCAAACGACTGAATTGATCGATCAACATCCAATGACAATAGATCAATGCATACAAACGAGTTTATCACAGACTAGTAATAAAAACCTGCAAATGACAACTCAAAGTTTAAAGTGTCAAAATTATACAAACGATAGCAATTCTAAGGAAGCGGGAATATTTTATATTAGCATGAACGTTTACAGACCAGATACCTTAGTTTGGATACCCAGACTGCCAAAATAACTGTCATCGATGGAGCAGGAAAATTGTACTCCAGGATTATCATACCTCTAACACTACAGTAATCATTCTTCTTTTATATCGTCAGATCTTGGTCATCCAGATAACTGCCGTTTCGTCATTTGTCATGTGTACCTAGGTCGTTTTTATCGAATATGATTCCTATTATAGGGCATTTCATTAGAGGGTGGTTTATGGTTTGAATTTGGCTGCATTTGTAGTTGGTAGTTTCCTCTTCTTCTAATATATGCCTTTTCTTGAGTGTGGTTTTACATCGTCCGACTTCCATTCTTAAGCAGTTTTATGCCTTCCGTCCTTTCCATTTCGAGTCTTTTCCTTTAGGCAGTTCTTTTATTTCCCTTATTTGTTTTTTTTCTCTCCACCTGTTATTTATTTCTATTGCCGGTAGATTATTTTTTGGTTGAGTTGTGGTTAGAAAACTTTTCCTAGGTTTAAGTCGCGATGGAGCTGGTTTCTTTCTATGTAGTGGTTGCCAGGGGTCGATAAGTTGTTTATATCTTTATATCTGTGTTGCGATCTCTCTCTGACATTTGGTGGGGCTATTTCCTAGAGAATTTTTATTTCTTTAAATGTTATTATATATTTAGCCATATTTTAGTTTGTTGTCTGAATTTCCTTATTTGCTCGGTTCTGATATCATCTGAATCTGGTGTCTTTTTTTCTATGATTTGCGTTATTGAAATGTCAAGCTCTTCTAAAGAAAATGGAGTGTATAATATTGACTTCATTTGATGGTTCATTAACTATTTTTGGCTTCATTTTATTATTTCTAGAGTATTATTCATGTTTAGGAGTTAATGATTAATTTCATTCGGTTTAATATTTATGTGTTTCTACATATTTCGTTGGGTTATTTCAAAGGTTTTTTAGTATTCTCCATGCTTAGGAGCTATTTTTAGTTATGTTTATTTCGTTTATCTGTGATTTTCATTTTTCTCGTCGTGCTTCTGATAATTTTGCTGCCAAGGATTCTTTGGTGGTGATCGTTTTCTCGGCAAAAGGATCATTGTTAAATTGGTTGATGTAATCTTCTAGTAGTTCTTTTTTTCTCCTCATTCTCGGAAAGTATTACGTTTCGCATCTTCTTGGCATATTTTGACTTGATATATTTTAGACTAGACTCTTGAACTGACCATGGTTTTCAGGTATTGTGATGATTTTGTGTACCTCAGTATCTAGTTGTGTCTTGACATTTTCCCAGTTAGTTTTTTTGAATTTATAGCGTCTTATCATTGCTGTATTTTCTGTGTGTAGAATAGCATTTATTTGATTTGTTATTGTTCTGTATTTGGAATTTTGTGTTGGTGCTTCGACTTTCTTGTTATCGACTATATTGTTTAATATTGCTACTCACAAAAATTATGTCTCGGTTGTATCTTCTTCGCCATCTGTCGCTGTTGAAAGACGATGGAAGTATTGTACCGTGTATCAATATTAAGTCCTTTGCCTCTACCCACTTTTCTACTTCTTCTCCGTCTTCATTTGTTTTGTTATAGCTCCAAGAATTATTGTGACTATTGAAGTCTTCATTTACTATTTTTGTTCTTTGCTTTGTATACCGATGTTACCGTACATTTTGTGAGTTCTACTGTGAGAATTTTTGTGTCGTTGTTTTCTATGAGCTTGTTGAAAGGATCTTTAGATTTTCTTTTTCAAATATCATACTCCCATATTTTTATGTGGTATTTCTATTGGAATCTTCATGCATTTTATCTCCTGACGAATGTTCTCCTTGTTTTGGTGTGCCTTTTGGAACTATATAATGTCGTATGCGTTTTATTTTGCTTATGTTATGTAAGATGTTGCTTTAGCGTTTGAGAATCCTCCGATGTTTATGGAAAGGGCTGGTTCAGAGAGAGACCGTTTTGGCTTTTTGGCATATTTGACATAGGCATGACAGTTATAACTGAGCCTATTTAACATAAAATCCATACGGTGGTGGTAAAACTGGTTAGCGATAATTATTGCTATGCAAGGGCTCTTATCCACGGTAATCCTAGGTTTATCATACCCTTCGTACCAAAATCCTAATGATAACTTTCAATTTTTGAACTAGTTACTGCTCTAATTTAAAAATACCAACTTATTTGCATTAATGGTGCTCTTCATATTACCACGTCATCACACCTTTGCTGTTGACCAAAGATGTGTGAAAAATCACAATACTGTAATTATACATTTTTAAATTAATATATAATATAAATTTATCGGAAACGTGACGAAACACGCAACTCATCGAATTTTTAAAAACAATTTTATCAATATAGACTATTTCTAAACTAACTAGACTATAAAGTATTGTAGTCTATACTAAGTATAGTATACTTTTTTTCCTAACTATAGAGTTTGTATATCAGGTGATTTATTTATTTATTGTATTAATGCCAAACGGCAATAATATAGGTAATACAAATATATAACGAATGTGTGAATAACTAGTAAAAAAAATAAAAACTAAAATTAAGTGAATACAATGATAAAGTAAATTCTAAACAAGTAACTTATACTTAACATTAATCATTTAGAGTAGAAAACCATTTGATCATTATTAAGATAATGTAGCATTCTATGTAATCATATTTTTATACGAAGGCGTAATGAATTTTAATATCACGTAAATTACTGTACTTTGAACTTTCAATGTTATCGGAACGTCATGATAATTTATCCATAAGTGTGTGGTTAAAACGATGGTTAAAATGTAACGTTAAATCACCTAAAGTAGTTGTAAGTGATCAATCACTAGCATTGATGTTTGGTTTAACATAAGCATTCACTCAGTATTATTCGCTTGAATCATTTTTGAACGTGTGTTATAAATTAGTATGTCAAAAAAAAGAAAAAAAAAAGACTACCTAGGATAATGAGGACGGTGCAGCCACTTTTATAGGTAATTTAATGTATACCTGTAACCAACGACAAACCATTGCCAACGAATACTGAGTGAGTTCAGTTGATAGTGATTTTGATAGTAAAATAAATTGGTATTGTATATTTTCTATAATAATATTTGTTTAATATTGTACCGATTTTCCCGTTTTCCAGATTATTTTACTCCTTGTTAGCTAAACGCTATTTGAAATCTATAGTTTCATCTAGTATTTTAGATATTGATTACTTTGACAAAAATTTATCTTAAACGAAAAGTGTAAAAGATGGCATTAGTAATTATGAAGAAGATGACTTAAAGAATATAATGACCACGTTTTAATAATGGGCACAATCTATTGCAAACAGATCAAAGTCGAATCTATAATTGGAATGTGTGATAATGCACAGAACATTACCGAAATTGAACCTATTACAAGAACGTTCAAACTATTGTTGGTCAGGTATTATGAGACAGACCTTTGGATTTGGAAAAAAAATAGCCTCAAGTTAAAAAGTAATTTCAACCATATTAAAAACCAAGTATTCAAAAATGATATCTTTGAGAGTTGATATATTCGTAGGAAAACTTACACAATAGAGGTCATCTTTTAATTCAAGATGTTACTACTGTATTTTTTTAAAAAAAATGTTAATGGACTACATACAAAACTAATTATATTGCCCAGTATAAGACAGTTTTTGGTACTTGTTCAATTGATTTAATTTTGTCATTATTCACTTCAGCTGCCAATAGAGCAACATTTAGAGAATATTTGGTTGGAATTTTAACATTGACTATGACTTCTAATATAGCTTAATGATAAATGCAAAGATAACTAATTTACTGTGACAGACTTAAATTAATTTTACAGTATTTTGAAAATAGAGTAAAGCCTACTGTTGGTGGTTTTAAATCTGTAGACGCTATTAGAACTGCCGCATATATTGTAGATAAGATAAAATGTAATTGTTTTCGTAAATTCGTAATAGTACTTGTGAACATTTCTTGTAATTAAAAAAACATCATCAAAACTACCTTTAAATGTGTATGAAGATAAATTTCAAATTCAAAGAAAGGATGAAGATAATTTGAAAATCAATAAATAAATATGGATCGACTGTGGACGTGAAAGAAACGTAACAATACAAAGTAATTAAAACTCATCTACTCATCGAACTCGGCTGTTTTCCTATTGATAAGTTTCTGTTGACTTAAAGTAGAAGTTAATTAATTCTAAAGATTTCTTGTGATGTGTGGCTAAACATTGTAGATGTTTTACATAGATAAATAGGTCTATATGAAAATATTATTTGATATAATATATACTGTTCTTGCTACACTTTTTTTTACTTAACTAACGCCACAATCTTGACACTGGATTAAATTACTTATCTTTTATATTTAGTTTAGATAATCGCCATAGCTATTTAATTTGTTGTACTTCAAATTAGATTTGAATATCCTGTTACTATTTGAATGTGTGGATTTAATATAACAATCAATTAATTACCCACTTTAAAGTCTATTTAATAAGTAATATTATGATATAATACATAGGGTTTATCAAATTCTATGTCACAGTCAAATTTTCTATGAAATACTTTTTTTCCTAAAATGGTTTTTTTAAATAAATTTTTGGATTAATCAGTTCTAAAATACTGTATTGTCCTTATTTGAGTCACCCTTATTTTTGGATATGAATGCACTACTTACTTTTATTTTCAAATAAAAACCTATATTAAAAATTCTAAAAAAAAATAGATAATTAGTTTAAATCAATTTTGGTGTTGCCATTTTTAAAATAATAACCTACAAAAATCATTTTTTTTCTTTTAAAGAAAATATTTTACAGACAATTTGACTGTAACATGAAATATTTAATTATTAAATATTTATGACTATAATATAATTTAGAGATTTGAATGCGTCTACAAGTATTAATATAGACAACACGCTACTTGACATGGTGAATCAAAATGTTGCCAGTGCAATCAACTGGCCATTAGGAAACCTTACAAGGAATATTATTTGGGATGATAATATATACAAGTTAAGAAGAGCAATTATCTTACGGTGGTGACAGGTGTGGCTTACGAATTGCTACTGAATA